AATAAAGTATAAAGAAGTAATACTAAAATAAATAATAATTATTCTTAATAAATAATAAAGGATACTTAATATAGAAATCCCTTAGAGCTATACTTAAGAAATAGTATATATTAAAATTTAAATAGAGATTATCTTTAGCTTAAAGAAGCTATAATAAGAAGTAAGGATAATACTTATTAAAGAGATCTATAAGTACTTACTTTTAAGATATTAAAGAGTTAAGAAAATATTTAATAAGATTAAATAATACTATAATTACCTAAGTTTATAAAAAGAAATATAAACTATAATCTTAGAATATAATACTTATATAAGAATTAAGTCTATATAATATAAGCTATATAAAGAGCTTAAATTAATCTTAATATTAAAATAACCTTAATAAATAATATCCTTTAATTATATTATAAAACTACTAAAATTTAAGGAATTAATAACTAAAATAGAATATAATAGTATTTTAATAGTTATTAATAAACTTACTAAGTATAGATATTTTATACTATATAAAGAAATAAGTTCTATAGAAGACCTTATATATTAATTCCTATAATATATAGTTAATTATTATAAATTACTTAATAAGTAATATTAAATAAAGGAATAATATTTACTTTAAGTTTTAGTAATTACTTATAATATAAATAAATATAAAATATAAGCTTTTAATAGCTTATTACTATAAAGTAATAAATAAATAAAATATTTAAATTAAATATTAAAATAATATTTATAAATATATATTAACTATAAATAGAATAATTAAGTATAATTACTATTTATAATATAAATAATATATAATAATATAATATAAAAGTTAATCTAATTATTATTTATATATATAAACTATAGTTATAAACTAAAGTTTTTAAGTAAACTAAAGTTTAATAAACTTATAGTACTTATTATTATACTTATAAAAGAAATATTATACTTATTATATATAGAAATATAAGGTAAACTAAAGTTTATATAATAAAAAATAAAAAAATACTATAATAAAATAAGATTAAGGGATTAATCTTAAAAGAGAGAGATAAAGTTTACTTATTTTAAAAAAATATTATAATAATAAAGCTAAATAATAAATTAAACTATAAAAAACTTAGATTATTTAAAATTATAAAGAAAAAATTAAATATTAATTATAAACTTTTATTACTAAATATAATATATATTTACTTAGTTTTTTATATTTTATTACTTAAAAAAGTACTAAAAAATATATTAAATTAAGATTACTTAATTAAAGTTTATAAAGAAGAATTTAAATTAAAAAGAATTTTAAAGAAAGAAATTAAAAATAAATAAATATTTATTTAATAAAATAGAAAGATTATAATAAAATAATAATATATAGGAACTTATTAAATATTTAAAGAATTATTAATATTTAATATACTAATTTTATTAAAAAAAGAAGAAAGATTAATAACTTTACTTTAAGTAATACTACTAAAGAGATCCTTTATAAAAGGATTAAAGATAAAGCTAGAAAAATTAATTATTTATATAGTATATAATATTTAAACTTAGAATACTAGCTTAGCTTCTTAAGCTTATATTTACTTTAGCTCCTCTTAATAATTTTTCTCTTTACTTCTTTTTATTCCTTCTTTTCTAATTTCTTTATATTATTTAAACCCTTTTTTAATATTTTTATACCTTTTTATAAAGCTACTTTTATATCTTCTATAAATATAAAATATATATAAATATTATTACTAACTCTACTTTTACCTTTAACTCCTTATCCTTTAAATAAAATAGCTTTTTATTAATTTTCTTAATTATAATAAGTTAATAAGTATAAGGAAAACTAAAAGAAGAGGTATATACTTAATAATATTAAGGAGTAAGTATTATTATATAAGTAATTAATATATATATATATAGTATAATAATTTAAACTTAGAATAATAAAGTAATTTATATCTTTTTCTATATATTAAGTATAAAGTATAACCTTAAACTTATAAGTAAAAATATACTTAGATTTCTAAGTATATTTATATACTAAATTAGATTTCTTTTATTTAGAAATATAGTTAGATATTTTATTAATATATATATAATATAAATAAATATAAGGCTAAGTATATACTAAGATAGAAAGGTATAATAAGCTAACCTTAAGGATAAAACTAATAAGGAGGGAGTATTATATTATAAATAAAAGCCTCTATTAAGCTATAAGAAGTTATATATAAAATAGATTAATAGCTCTACCTTAGGGGCTAATAATATTAATTTATTACTTAGATAAAGTAATAGCTTAATAATAAGATAATAATAACCTTATTATATATATATATTTATTTCTTAAATAGAAATACTCTTTTAAATAGTTATTAATATAATTACTATTACTTTTATTAAAACTAGCTCCTTAATACTTATATATTAGTAGTAACTTATATAGTATTTAAATAACCTAATTATATTACTTAAAATAATACTCTAATTAGTTTAACCTTAACCTACCTTAGACCTTATTTAGTATAAGTTATTTAACTATTATACTTATAGCCTCTTCTTAAAGCTATAGGTATTACTATACTATAAAGCTAGTAGCTATTTCTTAATAAGAAGAATTAGGGTTAAACTAAGAGCTATTAGTTAATAAATCTAAAGTATAAGAAGGTTTAAGAGAATATATACTAAGCTTAATATATATAATTATACTAACTATAGTATAAGTAATACTAGGCCTAATTACTTAGGTAATTATAATATTACTTACCTTTATCCTTACCTTAAGTAAGAGATTATAAGTAATTCTTATAAAAGTTATTATATAGACTCCTAGAGCTTAGAGAGCTTAAGGAGCCTTTATAGGAGTAATTATAATTACTCTCCTCTCTATCCTTTTAGTATCTTTTATAAGGGTAAGAAGGAGGAGGTAGAGGAGTAATTAAATTAAGGGAATCTAGACCCTTAAGCTTAAAAAAGGGGTCCTTATCCTAGTTATTACCTAGGGGTTAAAAGTACTTTAGGTTATTAAACTTAAGGTGCTCCTCCTCTAGGGGAGTAAGAGTTAGCTCTTTTAAGAGCACTTTCTTAATACTTTAAATATAATATTATTTAGGATATATCTTTAAGAAATCTCTTTTATTATAGATAAGTATCTTAGCTATTATATTAAGTAGATTAAAGAGGAAAGAAAGAGAATTTAAAGCTTTTAATTATAAAGTTAGAAGATAAAAAGCTCTTAAGTACTTTAAATTATAAGGTAAAAAGCTTTTAAGATTATTATATTATCTCTTAACCTTTAATAAGCTAATTATAAGGAAAGTTAATTAATAAGTAAGAATATTCTTACTTACTAATTAATATAATAAGCCTTTAAGCTATTAAAGAGATTAAATTAAATTATATACTTATTAAATACTTTATATACTTTATTAATAATAAATATATATAATACTTAATATAATAATTTATAAGTATTTAATTAAAAGCTATATTAAATTAATAAAATTAAAGCTTTTTAATTAGAGGGTATATTAACTAGAGTATAGACTAATTAGATAAAGTATATTATAGATATATACTTAAAAAGTATAGTAAGTTTAATTAAATACTACCTAAAGATCACCTAAAGCCTTTATAGTATAATACCTTCTAGCTATAATAAAAAAAGGATAAAAGAGGTACTTTAGTTTAATAGGAAATATAATCTAAAGCTTTAAATTAACTATAGATATATATATCTAATTAAAGGAAATCTATCTATAAAAAGAGGTAATTTTTTTAGGTTTAAATTAATAAACTAAAATAGTTTATAATAAATCTTTTATCCTTATTATTCTATACTCTATAATTAAATATTATACTTTTAGTATTAATAAATTAACTTTAGGGTAGGATTTAGTATTAGCCTATTTAAAAGTGAATTTATAGAAGCACGTAGAAGGGTCTTCGTAATGCTATATGCAATCTCTTAGGTTTATTATATTTTCTACGTCTACCAAGTCTCTGTAGTGGAATTCAACTATATAGTCTTAGGCGGTAGACGATGGTATGCCAAGGCGACAAAAAATCCCCGATCTGAACTCCCGTAGCTTGGCATAATGCACAGCACGTTCAAAGATGCATATGCTGCGATACATGGACTCGTGGTTCTGCGAGTAAGTACCTACACCTATGTGTGGTATTGTTCTAATTAAGGTAAGTTTCGGTGATGCCTCTTTGGGAAATCTCCAGTTGGTGGATCGAATCGCATGTTTGGGGTCAGGGTCGGTGACAAGATATTAATGGCAAATGTGCATGAATCCACAGATCAATCAATATTATGACTGTCGGGTTAGTTGCTGCGACCTGCCTATGACGGAAACCCATGTATGAGGCAGACTTGTGAAATCGCTATGAAGCAGAAGGGCCATGTGGTACTGGGCCCTGTTCTGGCTGCTGGCTGTTGATACTACGGTAGGAGATCTACAATCAACTTCAGACATGATACTAGCAGTAATGGCATTTTAACAGCACTTTGGGTGAAGTGCGTCCAATGTTACATGTAGGCTACCCAAGAGGCCCATAACATCACGGACCTCCGGCATAACCTAATCAAGTGGTATTTGGTTTAATCAGGGTAGATGGAGTGAAGTTAATATATCCACGACATTACTCCATGTCATTCTGTATGGGGGAAATCCTCCATGCAGCCCCAGCCAATGGCTGAGCAAGATGGATGTGCATCCTCCAATACACTTCCAAAGCTTGTTTACTTTCTGCTATAGGGCGGACGGCTAAATTTAGCACATTCTCAACCTCGCAGCCAGTTGATATTTGTTGGATGGACTTATCTAGAGATGTATATAAGTCACAAGTTCCTCTCCTTAGACTTCTACCTGCTCTTTCATTAACAAACAACCACACTATCAATCTACTTCTTCTAAGAGCCAGTCTGCCCTTATTCTTTGAAGCCAATTTTCTTTCTACTACATAGTTTCTCGCAATTTTCCCGAATTTTCATTTCTTCCTATTGTATTTTATTCAAAATGGTCGCCGCTAAGCAACTCAGCCTCGCTGCCATGCTCTGGCTTGGACTCGCTAGCCGAGGACTCGCCCTGGAGATCGATGAAACCAACAACGACCTCAACCTTGTGGCCAGAGATGATCTTGATCTCGAAACCCGTGACCTCAACTGGGATCTCGATCTTGAAGAGCGAGACGAAGATTTTGACCTTGAAGAGCGGGACGAGGATTTTGATCTTGAAGCCCGAGATGAAGATGAAGAGCTCGAGGTTCGGGACGAGGATGTTGATCTCGAGGCTCGTGACGACCTTGAAGTTCGCAGGGGAGGAGGCGGTGGCGGCGGCCGTGGCTCTGGAGGTGCTCGAAGCCACCGTCACACACGAGACCTCGAAGTCCGTAGGGGAGGAGGTGGTGGTGGCGGCCGTGGCTCTGGCGGTGCCCGAAGCCACCGTCACACACGAGACCTCGAAGTCCGTAGGGGAGGTGGCGGTGGTGGCGGCCGTGGCTCTGGCGGTGCTCGAAGCCACCGTCACACTCGAGACCTCGAGGTCCGCAGGGGAGGAGGCGGTGGCGGCGGCCGTGGCTCTGGTGGTGCTCGAAGCCACCGTCACACACGAGACCTCGAGGTTCGCAGGGGAGGAGGCGGTGGCGGCGGCCGTGGCTCTGGTGGTGCTCGAAGCCACCGTCACACACGAGACCTCGAGGTTCGCAGGGGAGGAGGCGGTGGCGGCGGCCGTGGCTCTGGTGGTGCTCGAAGCCACCGTCACACACGAGACCTCGAGGTCCGTAGGGGAGGAGGCGGCTCAGGCTCTGCCGGGGCTCGTGGCCACCATCACTAAGAAGATGGTATTTAAATCGGCTCACCCCCTAGAAGTTCTGTTAGGGGTTCGAAGAAGATGGGTTCGTCAAGGGGATGGCGACATCCCAGAAATGCCTTCGGAATGGCGAAGAAACCTCGGGTCCTGGGGAGGCCCTTTTTGACTTCAACACGGGGAACAAATGGATTGAAAGCGGTCTTTGTATATCATATGAATAGATGTAGAGTTCGAGTTGGCTGGATAGGGTGTTGTGTTTTAGCTAGAGTAGTTCGGATTCATGGCTTTGATTTGTTTTTTATGACGTGGCTCACTAGCCAATTTTCTTTTTGAACACCTTTCAGAATTGAAGATCTTCCTCCCTTTGTATCATGACCTATATCGAATTTCATAGGTTCATCAACACCCTATGTGACTTAGGGCCGAGGACTACCAGCGAGGTAGGACACTCTTGCCCGTGTTAAGGGACGTACCGTGTGTTGTTGTTTTATCGGCGCAAACCTTTGTAACCAGTCTATCATACATTCGGTATTTGTTTTTGTACAAAAGCCTTCGTTATCTGTTCCTTTTCAGCACAAGCCTCGTGGGGAGAAACTCACTTTGTTGTCCACCCTTGGCAAGAAAGCTTTCTCTTTTGTCTCCCCCTGCTAATTCAAAGAGAGCCACCAACTTAAATAACCTCAGCTTTCAGCTGCAATCGATGCATGATCATTGACGTTCAACTTACAACGTATCAAGCAAACTGGCGTGAGACTGACCTAGCTTCATTCTTACTTAAATCACACTGCGCTCCTTATTACCTGAGAAACATGGCAGAGGGGCGGCCTCTTTATCACGACAATGAGGCAGAGCCATTCAAAAGCGTTGTATACTTGGTATGCGACGGTGCTTCGGGCTTGCAAAAGTTCGACCTACTGATGCATCATCACGACATGGTGATTGCTATTGCTGAGAATGAAGTAGAGAAAGCTCATGTGCTGCATCTGCAAAATATACGCAAGGACACGCTTTCTGAGGCCGAAACTGCCATCAACAACTTCTTGGACAAATTTGAACCGCTCGGTGATGGCGACACTCTTCAGAATACCACCCTTCAGAATACCGTCTTTCAAAACTTTGGCCTGGTTTGCGATCTACTGGATGAGTTGGATGAAGATGCTAGGTGTGAGATCGAGAAGGTGAAGAAGAAGCTAAGCAATATAGAAAACGACAGCCTTCACTATCCCAAGAGAGTCAAGGACACGACGCCCGGGAAATTCAACCCAGTTTCTGAGATGATTGCTGCCTGCAGCGACTTTCTGGACCAGGCAGAGTCAATTATGTCGAAAGCATACGAGAATGCTTGCGGGTACCGTCCTGGAAGAGATGGGGAGATATGGATGACGGACTCTTATCTATCTCACCAGTGCCTTCGAAAGTATCTTGGAGAGCAGAGCGAAATTCGGGACCTCACCTTTCGTTGGGAGACGCGTGTGAACAAGAGTTCCACTGGGCAGCGAACATTCGATGTGTGTTTTTAGGATGGTTCAGAGTGGGTGCATCGCCCAAAGGAAAACTTAGAATAGGGGCTTCTCTGTTACATTCACTCTACGCAGTCAATAGGATGACGGAATGTAGGCATCTGATGAAAATACTAGTCAATACTTTGACTCTGAGCTCCCTGGGGAAAAGGATTCGCGTGACATCCATGTATTGGGAACTTAGGTAATGCCTGTTAGAACTTAACCAGGGCCTTGGGCTACCTGTCCTAACAAAAGGTACATAGGTAGCCTGTAGTACTCAGTAAGAGGCACGGTAATTGATTCCCATTTACACGCTCTTACCTTAAAAACGCGTATTTTAGTGATCCAAACGCGTCCCAACAGCATTTGACATCATCGTGCGACACGAATTAATACGAATTACATCTATTCCTCACAGCTTTCATATCAAACCTCAAATACACCATGTCGCAACCAATGCTGGAAATTCAAAACCTGATTAAATCAGGCGAAGTCAAGTCAACCGCTCACTTGCTGCCATGTCGCGTGCACCACGACGGATCTATTGATCCCATAGAATCATTCTGGAAGCCCATTGATACTGAAGGTAGGAATGGACCAATCTTGTGCGAAATGCCTGGAAATTCTAACAAAATCATTCAGAAGGGAAGAAAGAGGCATATTTTCGAGGTCGCAAGCTTCACGCGAAGGCTGTTCCGTTACCAAGCCAATTCAGAGGCATTGTGGCAGAACGACAAGTGGCAGTACCTCAACCAACGGATCCCTACGCACCGATCGATCTGGAGAAGGAGGATGACGATGATGCACCCCCGGTGGATAAGATGAAAGCGCTCGCAGAGTTCGACGAAATCATGGTATGGGGTCATGAGAATGTCACCAATGCCGCCGATGATACCTACGTGAGAAGCTTGGAAGAATGGGTTGAAGCTTCGGAGCGCGTAAGATGATCGATATAATGGAGGAAATGCAGTACTGACGCACATTAGATCCACTCCTACGAAGAGGACACTCCCGCCGAAGCGAAGTGAAGCAGACACTCGGATACTGAAAGAAGAAAAACACCATCCAGCGCCAAGGGGAATCCTTGAAGCCCTGCGTATGAACAAATATAATATGAGTGATTCAGCTTGCGGATAAAAGGAGAAGGTAGCTAGGGTATTACCAATCTGCGAGGAACCGCAAGCTGTTCAGTCGAGCTGGCATCCTCAATACCTATTAATTAGGGCGCTGATATCAGATGCGACGCCACTTAGAAACAGCCGTCAAGGGCCTGAGTATGCGCCTCCATGCAAGGCTTCATTAATCGTGGATCAATTGACCATGGACCTGCGCAGAAGGAGGATAATTATCAACTGAATAGGAGGGTTATCATTTAAGACACAAGTCGACAAAACGCCATATGCATTCATGTTTATACAAATACGGAAACGCCTTCCTGTGCTCTGTACAAGGAGAAGATCTAACATCTGAAATACTTCTGCTCAACCCAGCGAGGTTCTTGAGTGTCTAGAATGTTGCAGACAACAACGGTGACTTCCGGAAAGACAGTGGTTAAACGGTGCAAGCCAACCCTGCCGGCCGAATAAGTGGCAATGACAATCCGATCAAGCGCGACACCGTGATCCACGAGGACCTGAACTGCCATGAGAGCAGCACCTCCGCTAGCCATTTGAGTATCCAGAAGCAATACACTCTCATGCTCGTGAATGTCCTCGGGTAGTCTAATATAGTGAAGCTCTGGTTCGCCAGTGGAGTAGGCGGACTGGATCAGGAGACGACCTGTCCTGCAGTCCGGAATTGTCTTTCGGAGAGCAGATTCGAATGCGGACCCTCCCCTGAGGCAAATCACGGCGCTGACCTCGCCCTTAGATACGAGGCCAGCGTACTTGTTTCCCTGAGGAGTTTCAACGTCCCAGCTCTTGAATTGGACGTTGTTGAGAGCCCTGGTGTTCACGTGTTAGTAACATATACAGTCAATGAGGTTCTCTCAAAGTTTGTGTGAAAACTTACTGTTCAATAATTAGACTGGCTAGTCGGTCGAAATAGAAGATGAAGTCTTCAGCATCAGTGTCAATGTTCTGCAGAATGGTGTTCATGAACTTGAGCTGCGGTGTTTCGTTGACAACCACAACCCGCTCTGATAATGGCTGCTCCTTGCACTCCATTTCGAGCTTGGATAGGGCTTCCCGATGATGCGTGGACTTCTCAAAGAGCTTGCGTTCGATATACTGAACCATCATTTCTATTTCATGTGAGCATTTAGTTAGATATGGCCATGCCTGAGGGCCTGGACTTACCAAGAGCAACCCTGTTCTCGATACCTCGTGGTACAATGAGATCGGCCACCTTCCTCTGAGGCTCGACATACTGTGGGTCGAGGTGTCAGAAAGGCTAAAAGCTAAATGAAAAACTCATTGCAGACACACCTTCTCAAAGTTGGGCTTCACGAACCCGAACCACTGCTTGATGCATCCCTCGACATCTCTGCCACGCTCACGGACGTCTCGAAGGACTGGTGAATCGCGTCAGTTTAGCTCGTTCATTTCATCATGAGTTGTCGGAAGGTAAGCCTACTTCTCCTAGAAAGACAAGTGTCTGCATCGGCTTCACAATAGATCTAAAAATCCAGCATATTAGTTGAGGACAAGCCATGGGGCACTAGGCGGGCACCATACACCCATGTCAATAAGGTCCAACACCCTGGGATCATATAAGGCGAAAATGCCCTCGAGAATGAGCACGTGAGGAGAGTAGATTGAGGTTGTCTCTTCTAGTCGTTGATGCTTCGCGAAAGAATAGACGGGAATCTCTGCCCGTTTTCTTGATTTGCCTGGTTAGCTTCCTTGGGATCTGCCTGAAGGACGAGGAGAGATGGAGCCTTGTCCTTACCCGGCCTTAAGATCCCTCAGACGCTCCACGAGGATGTCAAAGTCAATTGCCTATCGAAACTGGTTACTTGGTTTGGCCTTTGAAGGAGATCTCTTGTATTGGGAATTTGACTGTACCTCGGGAGAATCGAAGTCGTATTCATTTGCGAAGGCCAACTTGGACTGGGCAGGAGTCAAAGTTTTGTAGAATGAATCCTGACTTATTGTTAGCTAGAGATCTCGGGCTTCTGGCTGGTAAAGTATTTTCATGCCATTGACATAATTACAACCCAAGGCAGATTGAGCTTTCTAACAATCGCCTGGGAGATACTGGACTTCCCAGAACCAGAGCTGCCAGCTATGGCAATAATGCTGACATCCGCCCATGGTGGGGAATAGTAGGCTCGCTTCTGAACAGTGACATGGCTCTCGAGCTTGGACATTGCTACTCTCCCAGCGGGTTGATGGATGGTTAGTCTTCAGTGTTGAACCGGCAAGAGGCTGAGATTCAATAGCCGAGTCAGATGGGGTGGGCTTGTGAACAGGTTCGGCTTGTAGGCGGAATTCTGCTGAACTGGACTGTGTTGCGCGGATTAGGTTTAGTGTCAAGGTGCGCCCGGGGTTGTTATCATCACGGCTCCGCATGAGAGAGGGATCTGATAGCGAGCGTAGGGTTCTGTGCTGCTGCATACATAGGCCCGATTTCAATCAGAAAATTTCGAACCCTGGATCCTGGATGCAGGTGAAATAAACTGCGCATGTGAAGGATTAGGTGAAGGTCCTTTCGGCATGGAGGCTGTGAAGCTTGACGGTCGGTTTATTGCGTTCTACTGGCATTGGCGCTAAGTTTATATAGGCAGACACAACCAAGCCCAGCTGGCCGCCTTGGCTGGCTGAAGAGGCTGGCTCACGGGGAATGATCATGGGGTTCTTCCCTGGGCCAGCCGTCCGCTGTTTCGTGGTGGCACTAAGGTGTGTACTAACTAAGGCTGTAGCGGTGAAAGGTGGCTGTCAGCCTTCAGCAGACACATTGGTCTTGAGAAGCTCTAGGCAGAGAACAACACACGGTTTGAAGACATCAGTCAATATCAATACTTTCTGTGACAGCACCGCTTGTAAGTAGTCGGTCTCGAGCTACGTTGCACGCGAGCTGGGGTGGAGAGATGATAGCGCAGGAGCCTCCTTGTGACACCTCAAGGTCAGCTTCACTAGTGGCACGCATAATCTTCGGCCCGTGTAAGTGGGCCCTCTGTACCTTCTTTAGAGCTCCCGCTGCGCAAGCTCTGCTCTTTCATTCCTTTCCATCACAAATTCTGACTCCAAGCCACATTGCTTTCACTGTGCACGTTAACTGTACGTGTACTTCAAGGCCTTGTGACACGCGGCACGCATTGCAAATGCGTTAATACCTGGATCGTATCCGGCATTTGCCAGGCTTTCACATCTGCCACGCGCTGTTTAGATTCTGAAGAGTGAGAAGAAGAGGAACTGGACACCACCAAAATGGTGCGTCATGGCCCATAGCCAGATGTCGCATGTCTTTTAACATAGACACCAGGCGTCCTCGACATCAACAACCACGCCGAGCAAGCACGCATTCACCCAGCGCGTGCAAGATGTTCGGTGTCCCAAGAGGTATGTGCCTGTCTCATCTCCAGTTTACCCTCCCTCACCCCCCACGTTGAAATGATGATTTTTATATCAATGGGAATCTCTCCTAGCAAATTGATGCGGAGAAAAGATATCACTTCTTTTTTTACCTGATTCACCCCATGCAATTACCTACTTTTTATTGGACACCTTGCATGAAACATCCAGCTAATCGGTGGACTAGTGACATCAACGCATTGATCTTGGACTACCTGACAATGGAAGGCTATTCCATGGCTGCTGCCAAGTTCTCCAAGGAAGCGAATCTGCAACCCCAGCAGGATGATGCGTCCATTCGATCACGGCAAGAGATTCAGCACTATATCCATATAGGGAATTTCGAAGCCGCCATCGAGACCTTGAACGAGTATGACCCCGCGGTAAGTTGCGCATGCCTTTATGAAGTACTTTCACTCCTCTCCCTCCCGCTATATGATTAGAACACGAGTTTTACATGCACCACGCTGAGCCCTTCGGGCCTTGGATGAGAAACAACCACTT